GGGGGGGGGGGGGACGCGTTGCGTACACGCACAAACAAGCGCGCGCGAGACCGCCCACGACCGCACAGGACCGCCCAGGCCACCTGCGGCAACCGGGGTGGGGCCCCGGCGGGGCTGGGGCGCCCCGTCCAGGCTCGCGGTCCCTCGGCCCCCGGCCCGGCCGCTCCGCCGGGCGTGTTGGGCGCCTGCCTTGCCCTGCCCTGCCCGCGCCGGCGCGCCCCGGCCTCCCGCCTCCTCCCGCCGGAGCGGCTCTTTGTTAACCACACCCGGCTCTCGGGGAGGCGACACACACACACACGCACACACGCACACACGCACACACGCATTTCCATTGGGGGGGGGGGATGGGGCTGTCGTGCCGCGCGCCGAAATGGCGACCTCGATTACGGCCCAGGGCCCCCGGGGCGCACGGCACCCCTGGCCCGGCGGCGGTCAGCTCGGCATTGTCGGCTCCCATGCAGGGCAGGCGCGGCGCGCCGAGCCGGGCAGAGGGCCGCCGGGCCGCCGGGCCGCAGAGAGAGGGGCAGGGAACGCGCCAGGGCGGGGGGGGGGCGGCATCGGGACAGGGGCGGTGCGGCGAAGGGCAGGCCCACGCAGCCATGGCGGCCCCGGGGCGATCCTGCCCCCTCCGCCCGGAGTGCCCCCCTCGGCTCGCCTCGCCCGGGCGCGCGTTGCCCCGGGGGCGTCGGCGGCGCGCGCATCATGCCGGGCCGACCATGCCCCCCGTGGCCGCCGGGCGAGCCACACCGAACCCCTCGCCGGGCGGGCGCCGGTCTCTGCCGACGCCACGCTCCGGGCCTCGCGCGGGGCGTCTCTCGTGGCCGGCGGGGCGGCCCCGGTCGTCCGCTGCCCCGCCGGCCCGGCCGCGGCGGCCAGGTGCCGGGACTAGTCATCGGCCGATGGATTAAGCGTCTTGCGGCGGCGGCGGCGGCGGCGGCGGCATGAATTCCAGCGGGAGTTTGTTTGGCCGCCCGGGGAGGGGTGCGGGCAGGGAGACGGGCGACGCACGGCCGGGCGCCCCCGTCCCCCCCCCCGAGAGCACACCCCCATCATCCTGTCAGGCCATGCGCCGGGCCCGAGACGGCGGCGGCCGGGGAACCTACCAAGCGAGGGGACGGGCCGGGCGGAAGGGCGGCGCGGGGGGGGGGGGCGGGTACACGCGCGGCCCAGGCCGGCTGCACGCGCGCGCAGCCGTAATTTGGGAGCCAGGGGGAGTACGAGCACCCGCCCGGCCCCCCCCCCCCCTCCCCCGTGGGCGCTTGGGCTTCATGGGAATGTTCGCGCGGCACTCCTCGCCGGAGCTGCGGCCACCGGGCCCCGGCGGCGGGCTGCCCCTGGCCTCGCCACCCACGCGCAGGGGCGAGGCCGCCGAGCGCGGGCGCGGGCGCAGGGAGGCCCGTCCTCGGGCGGCCATGTACGCGCCATATTTGCATCTTGCCTTTGGGGGGGGGGACAGGGGGCAGCATGCCTTCCGCGCACGCCCGCCGGGATTGCCCCAGGCCGGGGGCTGCGTGTACGGGCTGTGGCCCCCGCGCGCTGCACCGCACACCCCCGGCATGCCGATCATTTGTCGTCGCGCGCGCAAGCACCCCCCCGGCGGGTGTCGGGCTCTCCGGCGCGGCGGCCCCGCCAGTGGCACGGCGGCCCCGGGCCCGGTACGAGGCCCGCCGGCCCGAGAACGGGCCCCGCCCTGCGCCGGCGCCGATGTTCGCGGTGTCAGAGCCCGGGGCGGGCCTGCGGGCGTGCCCCTCGCGACGCCTCCCGCCGTGGCGGCCCAACGGCCTCCAGCCCAGGCCGGGGGGGGGGGGCGGGGGCCGCCCAGCCGGTGCCCCTGTCAAAGCGCGGGCCGGGAGGGGGGGGGGGGCGAGGGCGCGCGCGCCCGGCGCGGCTGGCCGCCCGCGAGGGGCGGCTCTTTGGCACGGCGCCCCTCGGCATGCCCTGGGCCGGGCGAGCCGCCTGGGTATGTGCGCCGGTGCCGGCGTCGTGTGAGTTCCATCCTCGGTTCTGCTTCATTTCATTCCTGCGCCCCCGGCCGCGGCCTCATTCCTCCGCCCGGGGGTGCCGGCCGCCGGCAGGATGCGGTTGCTCCGTGCGAACATTTAAATGGCCCAATTTCCCGGAAGACCGGATCATTGGCTGCTCGGGCCCTCCCTCCCCCTCGCTCGCTCGCTCGCTCGCTCGCTGGCTGGCTGGCTGCTCCTTGGCGCCTCTGGGGCTCTCCCGGGATGGAGGCGAATGACTGTGCCGGCCCGGCCGGGGGCCGCCGGAGAGGCCGGCCCCCCCCCCCCCGGGCTTTGACGCTCTCTAGCGCCTGCCCGCCTGGCCGCACGTCCGCGCGCCCGCCCCCCATCTCCGGGTGCTCAGGACGGTCCCCACTCGCGCCGAGGGGCATCTCGGCCCTGGGCCACACTCGCACGCGCTCGTGCGCGCGCGCGCGCGCGCAAGTGCACCCAACACCCAAGTGCCCGCCGGAGAATCCTGCCCGGTAGTCGACGGCCAGAGGGGGCGGGGGGAGGGGGGGGGGGGAGACGGTCGCGCATTCCTTTGCGGCCACCAACACCGGCCGATCGCGCACACCCAACAGAAGAGAGGGAGACAGGGGAGACCCCCCCCCCTCGGGGAGGAGGCGGCGGGGGCGGGGGGAAGGCTCTTTTTGACCTCGATGAGTCAGCCGCATCCCTGCTCGACCGCGGTGCTCTCGGGGCGGTGCGCGCCCACTGGGCTCGAGAGGTGTGCTCGGGCGCACGGGCATGGTCTGGCCCTCCGGGTCCGGGTCCGGGCGGGCGGGAGCGGCCAACAGCAGCCCGGTGCCCCGGCGCCCTGGGGCGCCCAACATCTCTGCGTCCGCGGGCGGGCTACTTGCCGGTGGTGTGTTTATTGGCGCGCGCCCCGCCCCGCCCCCCGCCCCCCCCCCCCGCACTTCCGGTGTCACCGGGCTGGGGCACCCCGCCGCCGGCCGGGGCCGCCACCTCGGAGGGCAGCCCCCGCGGCAGGCAGATCGGCCATGCGAAATCCCGGCGGCCCAATATGCCCCGGGGGAAGGGCGGACGAGCACCCGAGTGAGCGAGCGAGCCAGTCGGACCGGACGAGCCCCTGGCCAGGCCGATGTTAGCCAACGCCGGGGCAAGTGCGCGCGCGCGCGCGGGGGCGGGGGGGGGGTCAATGCGCTCGCCCGGCCGCCCATGTCAGGACTCGGGGCCGTTGCGGCTTGCCCGGCTGCCGGGCCGCCCCGCCCCGCCCCGCTCATGCCCGCCCATTCGGCCGGCACCCGGACACCGGGGCGGACGCATGCATGCCCCGAGTACTCCGGCCAGCAGAGGAGGGGGCGGGGGAGCATCGCGCCCGCTTTCCCGCCCCCCCCCCCCTTTGACTGACCGGGTCGCCCCGTGTGTTTGTGCGCCGCATCCGAGGGGTCGCGCGCGCGCTCCCAGCCCCTGCCG